CTGGCCCTTCCAGGGAGGCCCTTGGGTCCTGTCTGTGCCGGCCCCATGTAGCTGAGCTGCCGCGGCTCTCCTCCTCGTCCAGGATGGCCGGTGGGGCCTCCGGAGCAGCGACCACAGGCCGAGGGCAGCCCAGCCACTGGCGACCCCTCCCTGCACCAGCCACTGTGGACAGAGCATGGGGCGCCATTCTCCACTTGGGCAGCCACGCGTGGAGTCTTGGAGAGGCCACCTCAGCCGAGGGTCCGGCCCCGTGGTGCCTGGCACCTCTCCCCTCACAGCCCCACGAGGCTGACGCAGCACAGAGGCCGGGGCTCCGCTGCGACCTTGCACCTGAACATGGCGTCCTTTGTTCTTCAAAGAAAGTGTAAACTTAGTTTTGTTCTCACCTGCTAAGGTACAAACAAATTTAAAATAGGAGAGCAAGCTGCGCCCGCTGGGCGGTGTGCGGTGTGCCGTGCTGCTCTCCTGGCTGGCGACTAGGGCCGGGGCTGCCGAGTTGCTGTCGCGCACCAGGGTTGTTTGGGTGCTGATATCTGTGCGTCTGTAACAGAGAACAACTAAATGGAAGCGGAAAGTAACGATCCTCATTTGTCTTTATTTTATTATACTTACAGGGCTAGCCTTCTCTTATACATTTGCTTTTTCAATTAAAAAGCACTTATTGAATCCTGCTGATGCTTTGAAAATGATTTATTGCATTCGGGAGAGAGGCTGCATTGGTTTTTCTTGTCCTCCTTGCCAGCAATGTTAACTAGCCCCTTGAGGATCATCTCAAAGAGAAATGCCGCGCCCCGGGCATAAGCAGGATGTGAAACGCTGCCGACAGCCCGCGCGCCCCGTCCGTGCTCGTGTCCGGAGGTCCGTGCTCTGTGGTGTCTGGCACGGCGTCTGCACTTTTCTGTGGAAGTTTCCTCCCAGGCTTTTGCGACCAAATAACATTGTCACCTTGACGGAGAAGCTTCTTTCTGCTTTTCTTCACAGTTTCATCCATCCTTCTATGAAATGTTGGGGTTCAGCATGTCTCCTCCTTGTCTGTTCTCACACTGCACGGCCTCTCTGAGGCTTGATCTCTGCTTCCCCTGTCACCCACAACTGGCTGCTGGTCTCCTGAGCAGGCCTCTGGTTTTCCCACTGTTGCTATTGTCTGGGGAGAATCCAGATGCAAAGGAAGCTTCCAAACGCAGTTCCAGAGACTGCAGAAAAGAGCAGCTCGTGTTGTCAAGGGCTCTGTTCATCAACTTAACCTAAAACACACAGGACAACAAGGGGGGGTGAGTGAGTTAATTTATAGGACAGGGTGCAAGTAGGCAGAGGGCCTTCCAGGCACACGGATGATGAGGATGAGGGTGATGGTGGTGATGGTGGTGGTGATGGTGATGGTGGTGATGGTGGTGGTGATGGTGGTGATGGTGGTGATGGTGATGGTGGTGATGGTGATCGTGGTGGTGATGGTGATGGTGGTGATGGTGATGGTGGTGAGGGTGATGGTGGTGATGGTGGTGGTGGTGATGGTGATGGTGGTGAGGGTGATGGTGGTGAGGGTGATGGTGGTGATGGTGGTGGTGAGGGTGATGGTGGTGATGGTGGTGATGGTGATCATGGTGGTGATGGTGATGGTGGTGATGGTGGTGGTGATGGTGGTGGTGGTGATGGTGATGGTGGTGGTGGTGATGGTGATGGTGGTGGTGGTGGTGGTGGTGATGGTGGTGGTGATGGTGGTGGTGGTGGTGATGGTGGTGGTGGTGGTGGTGGTGATGGTGGTGGTGATGGTGATGGTGGTGGTGGTGATGGTGGTGATGGTGATGGTTATGGTGGTGATGGTGATGGTAATGGTGATGGTGGTGATGGTGATGGTGGCGGTGATGGTGGTGGTGATGGTGGTGATGATGGTGATCGTGATGGTGATGGTGATGATGGTGATGGTGGTGATGGTAATGGTGGTGATGGTGATGGTGGTGATGGTGGTGATGGTGATGATGGTGATGGTGGTGTTGGTGATGGTGGTGATGGTGATGACTGTGATGGTGATGGTGGTGGTGATGGTGGTGATGGTGATGGTGATGATAGTGGTGATGGTGGTGATGGTGATGGTGGTGATGGTGATGGTGATGGTGGTGATGGTGATGGTGGTGATGGTGATGGTGATGATGGTGGTGATGGTGGTGGTGGTGATGGTGGTGATGGTGATGGTGATGATGGTGGTGATGGTGGTGGTGGTGATGTTGGTGATGGTGGTAGTGATGATGATGGTGTGGTGATGATGATGGTGGTGGTCATGGTGATGGTGGTAGAGCTGGTAGGGCTGGTGATGGTGTAGCTATGAGGTTGGAATTGAGGTTCGAGGCAGAGGCTTATGAATGACAGATGCCCGGGAAATGCCAGTTGATTCCTCTGTTGGGTAGCAGGTTTCCTGGACACAGACCTGCCTGCCCACTAGCCTGCTGTTGGAGGATATTGCTGTGCTTTCTTGGGGTGATCCCATGTGGAGTCAGAACAGGACACAAGGGGTGTCTCCAGTGATTGGGTGACAGCTGTTGTCAGCCCAGCAGGGAGAGGTCCCCTCAGTGCTGCTGTCCTGCTGTCTGTGCATTTTTGAAGCCTGATTTTACTGACTTTGCTGGTCTTCACACACCCTGCAGCTCTCCACGCGCCTCTCACTGCTTGCACTGCACATGTCTCCTGCTCACATGTGCCTCACACCTCGCGTGAGCTGTGCGTGGGCTGTCCTCACAACTGCCAGCTTGCACGCGGTGTGGCTGAACAATTTGGAAGAGTCCTCCCAACCCGCTTGCTCATCTGGGTCTTTACAGCAGAGCTAAATGCTCTCAAGATCACCCCCAAATGCTCGTCCCCAGAGTGTTCCTTGTGCCCGCGTGCCCAGACCCACAGCCCCCGTCCTCGCTACCTGCCTTCCTGTTCCAGGAGGCCCTCTGTGCCCCGCCAAAGCCCCTGTCTTCCTTCTCCCCCTGAGAAGCCGCCCTCAGCCCAGCCCTCCGCATGAGACACCCAGAGATAAGGCTTCCTTTGTCTCTCCTGTCAGAGTGTTGGACCACAGTTGACTGTAATTTCATGCTTGCTGTTTCCTCGCTCGCATTGACACTGGGGAAGATTGTGTCCCTCCCCGGTCATGTCTGAGTTATCCCAGCTGAGTCACCGCCACGCCGGGAGCAGATTATAGTGTTGGGAGAGTGGTATTTCTGTCATTTTGCTTCCACCCCCAGTTGCAAATGTCACAGCCCCACGGTGGCCATCACGCCTTCCCCAGTGTTTTGAGAAAGTCCCAGGAGGTGTCTCGTGCCTCTCGGCCGCCCCGTGGACCGTGCGGTCAGATGTCCTGCCCGCCCCTCCACCTCCCGTGGGGCTGAGCTGAGGAGAGGTGCTCAGGGCCGACCCTCTGCAGGGCGCATCTGCCAGCCTGGCTCTGGGGGCGGAGGGGGGGGTGCTGTGCCTTCATGCCCCGGAGCCCCAAGGCCCCTGTGCTTCTCGACTGGGCGGACGCCTTCCTTGCTGGTCCCTGGGGCTCTTTGGGGTCTCTGCACTTTGGGGCAGAGACTCTATTTGCTACTCTTTCCCTGGATCCAAGTCAGTGCGGCCTCTGTGCCCCCGGCCCAGGCCAGCGCCTGCCCTGTGGCCTTGCCTTCCGTCCCGAGTCCCTCAGCCTGACTGGCGGCTGCCGCAGGTCTTGACGGGTCCACTTCTCTGCTCACTTTCTTCTCCCTGCTGGGGCTCTGCCGTCCTCTCCCTCAACGGGAGGCCTCCCCTGGGTGCGCGCCTCCCTGTCTTTCCTGGGTGCGCCTGCCTCAGAGAGCTGGGTCACTCTTTGCCTTGGACTTGGTCTCCAAATCCACCCGATGCGTGTCCCCGTCTCACCTCAGAGCTAGGCCTGCTTTATTGCTGTCCCTCCAGGGCAAGCTCTGCGGTGCCCAGATGCTGCGGGCTCCTCCAGCCTCTTTCATCTGAACAGGAGACGCCCCGACCCATGGCCTGTGATGATCTTTCTGGACGGGGAGCCTGGGTGTAGCTCACCCGGCAGAAGGCTGGCTCTGTCCGTCTTCTGCTCTGGCTGCTGGGGGTGAGGGTGGGGGGCAAAGCCGGGGTGTCTGCCAGGCTCCCAGCAAAGGGGGGTTTTAGATTCTGTGAGATTGTAGCATCGCTCACAGTAGGGGAAGCAGGACAAGCAGGACGCCCCCCGGGGAGCTACACGTGCTCACGGGCGCGCCCGCCAGGACGCAGCGAGCCTAGGCAGAGCCCCTCAGAGTCTGGAGGAGCCCAGTCCCCAAGGCCTGAGACGTGGCTGGAACCGGCCTTTGCGGGTGCCGCTGGGCGGCGAGTCTGCAGAGAGGGGGCTGGACCAGGGTCCGCCTGTCCTGAGCCCTCGGGGCGCCGGCCTCCTGCCCCGGAGCTGCAGACAGCAGGCGCTGTGGTCCAGCACCCGTGGGCGGCCCTTTGTCCAGGACCCTGGACACCGAAGCTGCCGCCTGCTGATGTCAGGAGGATGCTGTGCTCAGCCCCCGCAGCGGTACCGCTCCAGAACCGCCTGCTCCCGGGAGCAGCCCGCAGAGACCTGGTGCGGGCTGAGCCTGTGCCCCTGGGAGCCCGCCTGCCCCTCCCCCGACCCCGGGCCCCAGCCACCCCTCAGGGAGGCCTCAGCCCCAGCCCGCTGTCCAGGTCAGGCCGGCTTCGCAGCTGCTGGCTCCGCCCCAGCCCGGGCCGCTGGGCGGACTCCCCGGGCCCGCTGAAGGGCCTGTGGGAGAGAAAACACTCGCGGGGGGGGGGAAGACTGGGGAAGGCGGGGCCTCTGGCTGCGCAGGCCGGAAGGAGGGCCTGGCCAGTTGCCATGCTGCACAGTTGCCATGGCAACAGCAAGCCCATGAATGGACCACCGCCGGGGGCCGAGGTGAGTGAGTGTGAAATCGATTCAGCGCCCGGAATACGCTCCGGCCGGGCTGGGGCGGCCGGGGCGGGGGGGAGTCGGCCCTTCTCACCCTGTGGACGGGATGCGCGCGCTGTGGAATATTCTCGTTGGATCCTCCAGTGAAACAGCGTTTGGAGATTAAGTGCATCGTGGGGATTTCATGCCTCTTATGGATGCTCTGCCCTCCAGGTAACGCCGATTTCTCCCCGTCCATTTGAATTTGGGCTCTGAAGAGGGATTTTTCATTTGAGAGGAGCATTTTCACTGGTGTGATGTCGGTGTTCAACTGCTTTTATTGGCTCACTGTAGGTTGACAGGGTCAGAGAAATGACTCTTTGAGGAGGTATTAATGAAAGTTCCGTGCATGTTTTTGTTTTAGACAACGTGTGTGATCACAGTGTGCGTGGAACGCTGTGTAGAACACCACGGGTCGCCTACATCAAGCAACATGAACGTTTAATTAGGCAAATACTGAAGAGACGTTACGGCCAGGCTTTATAGAAGTCATTGACTCACACGGCGTGCTGTTTCATTGTGTTCAGTCATCTCCCGCGTGCACTTGTTCTGTGTGTTACTTAGGGGGCGGAGTGTGTCTTGAACTTGGGGATGTATTCTTTGCAGTAAATGTTTTATTTCAAGGAGCCTCACCCAGTGGGTGGGATTCGCCTGCCTGCTTTGCTTGCTTACGACTCACGGGTCGGCCGTGTCCATCCCTGGAGGCGGCCCCAGCGCCCTCGAGCAGGCGCGTCCGTGGTGGCTGCCCAGAGGCTGCCGTGACAGTAAAGGCAGGTCTGTTAACCAGGTGTATTGACCAGGCGTCAGCTTGAAATTCGAACACATCGCTCCCAGAGCGACACACAGACTAAGAGCTCTCGCTCCCCCATCCGTGCAGCTTGTAGAACAGGAGAGCATGACTTGTTTACATAACAGAAACCAATATTTGCTCTCTTTTATTCTCTTGGCATAGAATTCCAAGGGCAATGTTTGCCAGATGCTGGCAGAACCCTTGCTGACGACGCATTTCTGCTCGGGCAATAAATGGAGTTCTTGAAACTAAAGCAAAGCAGCCGGGATATTTGTGTGACTCTCTAATGCTTGCATGTGGAGCTGGTGATTTTTCCTAGGAGAGGCTACAAATGTTTGAACTAAAACTGAGGTTTGCTGTTACCAAATGCGTCCCCTCTGGCTCATGAGCTGGAGCTGCGATCTGACGCTGATATTTATCTGAAAGTGCGTGGCGGGAGGTAACCTGTGCTTTGTGCTGAGGCCCGCGAGGACCCATCTGCATGCAAGGCTTCACCTGTTCCTTACGTGCGAATCTATTTAGAGCTGGGAGCGCCCACGCTTGGGGGAAAGTGTGTCTCTAAAATGCTAAGTAGACCAGCCACTCAGGCAGGTGAAGCAAATGAATCCTCCTGCTATAAAGTCACTTTTGGGATAACGGTGCATTTTTCGGTGGATGGGCAGGAAACCTGCTCGAAGTTGAATCTCGTGAGCCAGGGGAACTGGGAATACCAGTCCCCTCCGTGCACTGACCGCGCTCTGGAGCCTGGACTCGGGCATCAGCTGGCCTTGTGCTGGCCTGGGACACTGTTCCCCAGCAGCAAGCGACAGCAAAGCAGGCAGGAGAGGACAAGAGATCATTCGTGTTAAAGTCACCGCCCCGTGCACACACTGGCACTGGATGCCGATGGCGAGTTTCATTTCTAGAAAACTTAGCCTGCAAACAGCTTAGGCTTCTTGCATTTCAGGACAGTATTGTGGGCATGTGGGTGTTATTCTGGACGGTCCATGGGCATCGGTACCGGACACGAGTTTTGTGGTGATGGCTGCTCCTGGTTGGTAAGAGTGCAGGCGTTGACAGGTTGTGCTTGGAAGTACTTGGACCAGAGTGGCATTGCTGTGACCGCCAATCATGCAGTCAGGGGTTCAGCCCATTGACAAATAGGACCATGGCAGGTGTCTCGACCTTTGTGATGTTTGGTGAGTGTGTGAGCTGCTCACCTCAGTGGGAACACACATTCTACCCTTTTATTGAGGCATGATTGACATGTGGAAAAACTGTCAGTCTTTAATTAATGAAGTGCCATTATTTTATATCCCTGCTAGTGTTTTGGCCTTATAGGATTCCCTGCCACTCCCCCTGCCCCCCAGGTAGTTGCACAACCAAAGCACCAGTGGTACCCGCCACAGTCCGTTGTGTTCCCCCTCCCATTCCCTCCCTGGAGCCTCAGATCCATGCTCAGCTTTCAAGGGTGGGTTTTAAAGTTTGTCTTTGTCTGACCCTTTGTTTGGTGTCTCTGCTCCACATATAAGTGACCCCGTCGGTGTTTCTCTTTCTCCTTCTGGCTTATTTCACTTAGCATCATCCCCCCAGCACCATCCGTGTGGCCACAAATGGCATGAGTTTATCCTTTTTGATTGCTGAGTAGTACTCCACGGGCGTGTGTAGGGAAAGGTAAAAAAGTATCAGGCTTGGGCCTCCCTAGTGGCGCAGGCGATTGAGCGCTACACTGGGAAGCTGTCTGCAGACTCTGCAGCGCGGGTTCGGTCCCGGCGGGCCGGCGAGAATCCCACATGGCGGGCAGACCTCTCCTGTCTCCCGGCTGCTCCCCTCAGCCGTGTATTTTGTCAGTCTGCCTGTTCTGTTCCCCGCTCTGTCTCTGGTGAATCCTCTCACCCTCCCTCACATCTGGCCTGTACCCTGGTTCTTCTATAAATGAATAAATCTTTTAAAAAACTTTTAAAGAAAAGTATCAGGCTTTTCTGTCCTCCTGCCATTTGCATTGATGATGGATCCCTGTGGTCCTGAACGCATGTCTGATGGCGGGCACCTGGAATAGGGTGTGGGCATAGGTAGATGGGATTCACCTGGGCTAAGACTGGGCTTATAAGGGCAGCAGGCGTCACAGCGATGCCAGGAGAGCAGAGAAGCAGAGAGAACGAGAGTGAAAGAGAGCGGAAAGAGAAGCAGAGACCACCAGAGAACGCCGGAGAGCCCAGAAAGAGTGAAGACGTGCTCCCAGCCCCCCGGCACCCCTGCCTGCCCTGTACCTGGAAAATCCCAATGAAAGCCTGAAAAGCCACCAAGGGCTCCAGGACTCCTCCTTCACCCCGTCTGCTCAGATCATAGAGACCCCGCTCTGGCCCTTCCTGCCACCACAGTGTGTATCTCACTCCTCTTGTCTGTCTGTCTGTCTGTCTCGGAACCAGTCATCTGGGGACCTGAGTTGTTTCCATACTTGGGCTACTGCAAATAGTGCCACAATGAACACAGACGTGTGTATTTCCTTTCGAGTTGGTGTTTTGCATTCTTCGGGCAGATCCCTAGGGGTGGAGTTGCTGGGCCTATGGCAGATCATCTGCAGTCTAGCAAGGAAGCTCCATACTGTTTTCCAGGGAGGCTGGTCCCCTCTACACTCCCACCAACAGTGTAAGAAGCTTCCTTTTTCTCCGCGTCCTTGCCGACACCTGTCGTTTCTTGATATGGGCCGTTCTCACAGGTGCGAGGTGGCGTCTTACTGCGGCTTGATGTGCCTTTGCCTGACGATGAGTGGCGATGAGCAGTTTTCCACGTGCCTGCCGGTCATCGGTTTGGCTTTTTGGAGCAGCGTCTGTGTAGGTCTTCTCCCAGTTTTTTGTCTGGGTTGTTAGTTTTCTTTCTGTTGATTTGCGTGAGTTGTTCGCACGTGTTGGGTTTAGCCCTCGTCAGATGCAGGGTGTGCAGTCTCTTCTCCCATGACGTAGGGAGTTTCTCCACTGCCCATGGTCTCTTGCTGCGCAGTAGCTTGGTCACATGTGTTTAAGTTTGTTTCATTTCCCTTGCCTTGGGCGCCAGTCCCCACAGACATCCCCGAAGCCAAGGCCGCGGAGTGTTGCCCTGTTCCCTCCCGCGCGCGTTCTGGTTGCAGGGCTCACACCCATGTCTTGAATCCGTTGAGTGGACGCATGTGTGGTGTGAGGTGGCGACCAGTTGCATGGGCACCTCGTTCATGGTGCGGGCACCAGGAAGAGTGCTGTGGGCTGAAGCAGCGACACTCGCCAGGCATTCTTTCTCTCAGTTCTGTAGATGCATTTCATGTCATTTGAAAATGCGCCTGAATCCGGGGGGATGAGTGGGGATTGGCACATGAAGGATGTGAGCAGGTGTGGGGGTGGTGTGGGGGTGTTGGGGCGAAGGCAAGGCCCTTCTATAGAAAAGGAAGACAGAGCTTGCTGGCATCAGGCAACATTGCGGGCGTGGACTCTGCCTGAATGTTCACGAGTGGGTCAGGAGGTGAAGAGTGACAGAAGCGCTAGCTCTGCTGACTCCTGGGACGGGGGGTCATCCTCCACCCCAAGTGGGTCACCTATAGGACAGCATTTTCAAGGATGCTAAGTTGCACTATTACTGTAGTGTTCGACTTTAACATTGATATTTTATGAACATTGATATTTTAGATTCAAAAAATATTATAGGTCAATTTGATAAGTGAATGTTGGGCTATCAACTAAGACATTTAAAGAAGTAATATTTGAAGTTTGCGATACCGTATGGTTGCAATTGGGTCATGTTAAATAAAATGATGGGCGCAATAGTAGTTGTCTTGCTTACACTTCTGCCTAAAAAAAATGTAGGATTTTTCTTTTGTACACATTTATTTTCTTCAAACTTTTTGATGAGGGAAGGCACCCAGGATGTAATATAAGAACTACCTTTTGGAACATGTTCGTAAATCATCCTGAGAATGGAAAAAAGGCTCATACATCAAGTTGACAGGGTTGATAACATTATTCTCCCAGAATTCCTGTATTCAGATGCAAAGGGTTATAGAAAAGTCGACTTGGGCATTAAAGCTTTCCTGAGAGAGGATGAGGGTATTCTTTTGGGTTGCGAAATTTGAAACTAGCATTTCAGAAATTTGAAATGCTAGCGCATTGTTGATTTGAATCTCATTACTTCAGGGTGAAAATTCATAAGTAGAACTATCTCACCGTTTAGGAATAGTTATAAGGTGGTCTATTTTATTGTGGATACTTTTTCACGGTCTAATTTTAGAATTTTTTAAATGAACTCTGTGTATTATTGCATTTATGTGGGTAAATATGGAAGGAGAATTAATGGAATAAAAATGAAAACATTGACAAAGTGCTGGAAAGGTAAATGATAATATTTTACTCATTTGGGGATTTTGTATTTTTTTTTAAGT